GAGTTTGGTGTTCAAAGCACGCCATAAACAATACACGTTAAATATTGTTTTCTGCTTGAAAGTTGTGTTATACAAATGAAATGAACTGTTAATTAAAATGCTGTCTTATTCACTCGAATAGTAGATATACCGTTAAAAGTTTTCAATGTACATATCACTCACATTGTATATAGTTTACAAATTGAAATAGTTTTATATTAAAATTCATATCTAATACAAAGTGCAATAGAGTAATACAAGCATGCCAATGTTAGGGAATTTTTACGTACCTCGAAGTACTTAATACTTTTATACGTAAGAAATTATTGTTTATTATGTGAAAAAACAGGGGCGTCGACTTAAAGGTATGGAATAACAGACCTTAAAATTTACTAAAAAACTTTCAAAAAATAAAGTTGATGTGGAGTGTTTGTAACTTATTGATATTCAAAATTCGTACACTTTTTTCATGCTCGAACATTTTGACTTTCTTGTACACAAACATCTGTATTAATGAAAATTAAAAAAAAAGTAAAATTTGTTACCTTTGTTTTTTTCTGTTAAATTATTATTTATGCATAAATGAAATTTTTGACAAAACTCCATGCCTAGAAAAAAGTTAACATGACGTCCCTGTGAGGAAAACTTGCACTATAGCTTTTTGCATTTGTACATACAATGTATGATTTTTTTGTATAGTTATCCAACCTATGGGAAGGATGACTGGTGAGTTCCTGTAAAATGTACTATAGTCATGATTACTACATGAAAGTAAGATAGCATGCATAAGAACGTTGTGATTAACAAGTTTTTTATTTATGTAAAACTGCAATAACTACATACTGCCTGTTTTGCCTATTTTATTTCTTTTATTTACTAAACATGATATACATTCGCTTTATATTTTTTTCAATACAATTTTACGGTTTTGGTCAAATGTTGATATATATGAAAAATGTGAATAATTGTCCTTCATTATGATTGTTGTATATTTTCCCTTTTTATTAAAATAGTATATCTATTTAATTTTAAATGATCTTTTATTTTAATCATTAGTAAATAAAATAATGGAAATACAAATATTAGAAAATGTTCATTTTTTCTTTTTTAGAGAATTTAAACGATATACATATATTTTCATATTCATTTTCTTTTGTTTCACTGTTTAGTATAAAATATCTTAAATTGTTTATAAGGACAAACACATTATACATAAAATGTATACAATCATTGTCGTAACTAGGTAGGGGTCAGGGTAGGCTTCTTCATCAGTTCCAAAATTTCAACTTTGGAATAAAAAGAATTAAACAATATTAAACATTTGGTACTGTTGGTAAAGTTAAGGTACTTGGTCTACCTAGAGTAAGGTCCCAGTTACGTCAATGTATACAATACTGTATATTTTTAAAAATATTTTACAATTCTTTTTTTATCTAAATTATATAGTTGAATGTATATATTTTAACTATTTGTATTTTTTAATATGTAATGTAAATTTCTCTTTTATTTTAGGGTCACATCTACATATACTACACCTACTTTAGGTGTACCAAATGCTGTTACAGCAAGTACCTACCCTCAGATGCTTGGCTTAAGCGAACAAGTACAAGCTCTGATGCCATCACCTACTTCAGCATCTACACCCTCAATCTTATTACCCCCACAAAGGCATACATCTGTTCATAATTCATCTCATTCAAAATACCCACCACCCTTAATACCAGTTAATGGAAGTAATAATAGTTCCAGGTATAAAATCATATTAACAGAGTAAAACAGAACATTTGTAATAGGATATGTGAATGATTAAACATATTATTACTTTCAGGGATTCAAGAGGCAGAAAGCCATTGATTCCGATATCAGAAACACATATGACAACTTGTCAAGTACAACCTTATCAAATTCAGAAAGCACTTGTCGAAGATAAAATGGTACCTTGTATTAATTTCAAGCCATACATTTACTCTGAATTATTGATGACGCTTCCTGACTTTGTCACTCAGTATTTTCCCGCCTGCGACATCAATAGCTGTCGGCAGGTTCTTACGGATGTGTTACACATAGACTTATACCAAGGAAATAGGTAAACTAAAATACTGTTTTGCTATAGACATTGTAGCCATTGGTGTAATCTAAGTAGAGCCCCAGGGTGAACCTAAAAATCCTAACTAACGCCAATGATTGTAACAGAATATATTATGACATATTATGAGTAATATATCATGTATATTTCTTCAAAGGTTACAAATGAAGATGTTAATGGAAGCAGGAAAATGTTCATCTCTAAACGAAGAGCTCCCTTTAATCCAAGTAAAAAGCATAATGAAGTACATGCCCCAATTTAAGTATATGTTCAATAGAGGTGAAATGGTAATGCCAGCACCTGCACATTCCGCCGAGGAACACCCTGCCAAAAAGCGTCAGCGCACTAGCTAGGACTGGCTACAGCCTTACTGGCCTACATATGACTACTACCATTCGGCATTTTAAAAAAGCCGACTACTTTGACTCATGTGTAAGAAATCAGCAGCATAATGCTCTGAAACACATGATTGACGTCACGTGCCAGAAAGAATGCACACAACTGAGGATGAGCCTTCTCCGACGAAGGAGTCTGCGACATAGTGTGAGCTACTTCTTTCTCCAAAGTTTATGCTTGTAAATAAAAACTGAGGTGTAAAAAAAGAAAAGAAAAAAACTAGCGTTGCACAGTTGGCAAATTAGATATGCTTTTATATATTTAAATTAACACTTTTCTTTAAGGTTTTGTTCCAACTTGAGATTATTGAACGAAGGAAAAAAAAGAAAATATTGTCAAGACCATTCCTCATATTTTTATTTTGTTTCATTTTTCTACCTCTGCTACAGAGTATCTTACGTGTAGTATTTCTATGTAAATAAAATGAAAGTTTTAATCTTAATGTGATTCGGAGAAAGAAAGTGGTGTGTATTAATGAAACGCTGTAGGTGTTATAAAGATTTACCTACAAATCAATATCAAATAAATTTGGCATTTGTATATTTAAAAAAGAAAAAAGGGAAGTAATGCTTCTTCAAGTTCCTAGCTATTACTAATGCTATCTTCATAACTGCTGAGAAATAATTTTAAAAATGTTCAACATTAATTATAACGCGAGTTTAGCAGAAAAATATTCTGTTTCGAATATTGAAGAAATTCTATTTTCTAACATCACCGTACACAGAGATGCAGGTACTTTTTTGTCAGTGTATAAATATCTAAGTCAATAAAAATTCAGTTTAGAATATGATATGTATTAACAGCTAATGAGATATGTATTATCAATGTTTACTAAACACTTTTGTCATTTTTTCAGTATCAATTCAGACATCCTCGATTAGATAACAAATTATTCTATTATTGTTTTTGTTATTTATAGATTTCCAGTTTGTTAAGTAAACATATCTCATGAATTTGTTAATATAACATACTTATAATAAGTAATGAGTATTTTGAAAATGACGAGAAAAACGAGAAAAAGAAAAAAAAATTAGTAAAAGAAACTGACAGATCGTAGAATTTAAAGAACCCGCCTGAGATGGTCTTCCGTTCCATTCTTTTTGTAGTAAGATGTAATTAAAGGAAATTATACCCTTCAATTACGATATTTCAACTGGTTCTGTATTCTCAAAAAGAAAAACTTAAAAAAAATAGAAGAAAAGAGGCTTAAATTAGTATTATTGACTGACTAACTTTCACTTTCGCTATTACTATTACATTAAAGAAAATAAGTATATGCGAAAACGGTGTATATATATGTATATGTATAGTGATAACTTAATGTTGACCATCATGGATTTTTCCATATAAGAAGAAAGGCTTAAGCATCCTGTTACGGTGAAAATGGTATATTTTGTTATTTATAATCTTACATTTCGTCATATCATTGTACCATATGACTTCATTTGTATCACCATTCAAAGAATCATACGGAACGGACTGGTGTCTACCATTTTCTAAAATTATCAACAAAATAACACAAGAAATTCGTACACAAATAAAAAAAAAGTCTGTGCAATAATAATGTAAAATAATACTTCTTATTTACATTTGATAACGCGCTAGATTTTAATTTTTGTATTTTTGTAAAGGAAAATTAAACGAAATACTATGGTGGTAATTTCAAATATAACGTGTTATAGTATTACGTGATGTTTTATTTTATTTAATAAACAGTAGAGGAGATTAGTAACGTTATTTTCGTTAATGTCATTTTGAGTTACAGTGTATACTTGTTACACTTTTTCATTGTAAGAACAATAAAGTATTGCAAAAATTATAAAAATATGAATTCATCGGTTGATATTCAAGTTTCAAGAATTTCTTGAATTATTTTGATTGTACAATATTATACAATATAGTGTACAATATTATATGTACTGTATTTTTAAATAAAGAAAGAAAAATAAATCCAATACACAGAAATTTGTGGACCCAGTCCAAAAGAATTGGATCTTAATTACTTTTAGTATGTTTAAATTAGAGCATTTATTTGTTAACACATGGTTAAATAATGCGTGTATTATACTTTATCACATTATCATCTGTACATATAGATCATAAGAATTAGAGGTACTAGATATTTCAAATAAATTCATGATGCAATTAACAAGTGTTGATCATTAAACATTATTTTCATTCAAATGAAAATATACCAATTCTTTTCTTTTATATTTGGCGCATAATAATTTAATTCATAGATCCCTGGTGCGTAAACATTACAGCACACAATGATCGTCCCTCTTCTAGTAGCCGGCATCAAAAGTAGGTATTTAGTAGATGAAATTTTCAAGTATAGTATTTAAAAAATACATATATGTAATATTATTAATCAATCCTTGGAAGAAATTTGAGGCTCCATGTTATAGAAGAATAATAATTTTAGAAACCATTACCATTTAAATAGCGCCCCATGTTCAACCGCACTCAGCTGTACCGGAAGTACGTCACGATTATTTGAATAGTCGAGTGTCGCCATCTGTGACGAAAGCGAACGAATTTGTACGAGGCTGGCCGAAGCAGTCAGTCGCGGTCGCCATTTTGTCGGGTAGTCATCGGGTACGTCGTGTTTCTTTTCGGGTTGCTGTACAAATTTTCGGACAGGCATCTCCGAAAAATTTGGGGTCCGGCAATTTCGTTCGTTCCCCCAAATGGCTTGTTTGAACACCCTCAAGCAGGAGATCAAAACTCTTGAGTCCGTCTTCCCAAAGAGCCATGAGAGATTTCAGATAATGTCTGCGAGTGTGGACGAACTGAGCTGCAGGTTCGTCGGTAAAAATGGGAAGAAATACGAAATACACGCCAATATTACAGTAAGTGTAACAAGCATGGATGAAATTTCGAACAGAGTAAGTTGTGATTGTCGTGAATTTATCGCTGAGAATATTCCTGTTTACACACGGGGACCATGTTAATTTTTCGTCGCTGTCTACGACCGTGTTCGGACAAAGAAACAATAACACTCGGTGTTGTTATTTGGCCTTTTTGACAAGAGCCATGCCCGGGTCCACGTAATACCGTGTATGCCCTATTGCACGTTTTTCTCCCTGCTGCACTTTCCCGTTGCTCTCTACATTTTGTTGTAGTTACGATCGATTCTTTCTCGCTTCCATGAGGCAGTTTCCGTGGAGATTTTCAGACGAATTAATAGTGCGCTAGAGGTCAATGTATGTCACAAATAGAGGGTAGGCCCCTCGTAATAGTATCTCTTTTACACGCTGAAAAAAATTCTATGCACTTTATATCTCATTTGCACGAAACCGTACTATATTTCGTATATATCAGATAATATTTACAGATAAAGTAGATAACAATGAACATATCCATTTGCGTTGCCGTTACCGTTGCCATTACCGTTTGCCTCGTTACGAAATTTTTTTATTTAATGCCAATAAACTTTAGCTATCAAAGAGAAACATTTATTTATTTCAAGATATTGAAAATTTTATCCGCAGTTTATATATGAAAACTAATCACGTGTGTTTAAAAAAAAATTGCGTTCTACGTTATTCTGTTTACTTTGTCAAACGCATTTTAATACAAGTTCGAATCCGATTTGAAATTAAATTTTTTTTTTGTAAGATTAATTAAAAATCAATTCTGTATTTTTTATATTGTTTATTTAATAGAAAATTGAAAATGCTAATTGGTTTCTGCATATTAATTAATATTGCTAATTATTTTACGGTTCCTGTTACGCATATATGTATATAGACGACCAGCGACGCTGAACTGCAATTTCAGATATATATCCTTATTTAAATATTATACATATATGAGTTCATGATAAACATTCGTTATTCAATTAATTATTATTGGTAATTTATTTTTCTTATTAATATTTATGAACGATATTTTATTTATAGAGATTGTTATTCGAATTTGAATTTGAATTTGAATTTTTGTGCAAAGGAATCTTTTTGTTTTTTAAAGTAGATTTTTCTCTATTCTTATAAATTTTAAATAAAGATAAATTGTATATAGATTAAATAAAAATTTAACAATTTATTACTGCCACAGGAAACCTATCCTTCAACACCACCAGTATGGTTTGCAGAGTCAGAGGAAACAAGTGTGACGAATGCTGTACAAATTTTAAGTACTACCACTGGCAGAGACAACCACGTCATTAATCAAGTTGGGATTCTCTTAAAAGAATTATGTAGACTTCACTCATTACCAGAACCCCCTGATGTTGAAAGGTTGAGGACAGCTTTGGATCCATTGCGCTTAGGAGGACCAAATGAAGCTGCAGCACAAAGGATGGAAGCTGAGGATGCTGAAGACATTGATGAAGATGAAGAAAGTGATACAGAGGAAGACCTCCATTTAGATATGGATGAGGGTGATGCTAATGCTAAGAGTAAGGTAAATAAGGCAGATTGGGATAAAAACTGTGTTACTCTATAAATTGTACATGTATGTACTTATTTGTGTATGATAATTTTATTTCTAAGGGTGAGGAAATAGAATTGGAACATCTTGCGACATTAGAAAGGTTGAGACAAAATCAAAGACAAGATTATTTAAAGGGATCTGTCTGTGGAAGCGTGCAAGCCACAGACAGACTTATGAAAGAATTGCGCGACATTTATCGAAGTGACAGTTTCAAAAAAGGTGATATTACATTTCAAAATTTTTTCAATTGAAATATAATTTTACATTTTTTAATATATTCGAATATTTGTTAAAATTTGTTACAGGAATGTACAGCATAGAATTAGTAAATGACAGTTTGTATGAATGGAACGTCAGGCTGATGTGTGTTGATCCTGATTCACCTTTACACAGTGATCTCATACTTCTGAAAGAAAAAGAAGGCAAAGACAGTATTCTTCTTAACATGCTTTTTAAGGTAAGAAAATTTCAATTATTTAAACAAAATTATTGATTCTACTTCTGTTTTAGATTTAAATTGTATAGTATCAAGGATGGTAGGCTTTTTTAAGGAAATTGGCATGTACTTGCGTGTAAATGCTCACCCGGGAAAATTTGATTTAATATTTATTTTTCTATTCACATCTTTTGAAATTTTATTATTATTTTTATTTAATTATTCATAATGCCTGGTAGTTCTTGAATAGTGATTTACCTTCTCCTATGTCGCCATTTTCCCTAGGGAGACCTACCATGTTCACTACTTATCTTGTCATTTTTTTAAATATGTTGAGTATTGTAAACTCTGTAATTTGGTAAATATGTTAACAATTTTGACATATAATATTAGATTTATAAGATGGAAGGCAATATTAATGTGTCTTCTCTGTTACAGGAAACGTATCCTTTTGAACCCCCATTTGTTAGAGTTGTGCATCCCATGATCTCTGGCGGATATGTCCTTATAGGAGGCGCTATTTGTATGGAACTCTTAACGAAACAAGGTTGGAGTTCAGCCTACACAGTTGAAGCAGTCATCATGCAGATTTCAGCAACATTAGTGAAGGGAAAAGCGCGCATACAATTTCAGGGACCGGGTAGTGCTAGCAAAGTATGTGGACAAGGCCAATACAGCCTAGCACGTGCACAACAGTCATTCAAGTCTCTTGTACAAATACATGAAAAAAATGGTAAGAGAATAATTTTATCTTTTTATAATTATGTTCCAGTACTTCAGTAGAATTTAGCGTATGCGGTAGAAACTTTTCTAGGGAAAATTACTCAGATACTTGAAAGTTACTAGACATTATAAAGGTCAACATTGCAGGATTTCAAAATTTCAAAATTCAAATCTTTCGATCTTCAGAATTCGAATTTCAAAAAAATGGAGTTAAAATTTTTAAGCTTTAGAATGTACAATTTTAGTTTCGAAATTCAAGTTTCAGAGTTTCTGAATATTGAATATATTTTTAATAAATTAATAGAGGTCGTATTATGTATATTTAAACATGCTTATAGGTTGGTTTACCCCTCCAAAAGAGGATGGCTAATGAATAGAAATCCCTGGGAGACAAAAGTTTGGGGCGTGCTTACAGCTGAGACTTTAATTCGGTGTGTGCCCAACAAATAATTGTTACGATAATGATTTGATACACAAAACACAACATTAACTAGGTAACTTAAGATACTGAATTAATCTAACGCGTAATTCCTTTGATGGCTGAGAAAGGCTGCCGCGCAAACAGTGAAGTGTTTGATTCTGTATGCATATAGATTTTTAGTAATTAGTGATTAGAAAACGCCAATCGCATTTGTGAATGTGAGGTATAATCATTTTTATCTGGAATTGATTCTTACGTTTCGGAATTACTAAGAATCGTAATTATTCCAAATAACAATTAATATTAGTTCTTTTTCTTGTGAGTACACATTGTTGTACGTACGTACGAAACAGTGTAAAACATTCTGTGAAATGCGTTTGCGCAATCCGTGCTTCCTGTCTTTCGAACAGGGAGGGGAGGAACACGACGGTTAGCAACTTAGATAGTTATATATATTGAAAATTTTTCTAAATGTTTTTTTTTATCATTGTGAGCTTTCATTCGTTCCATTCTATCTTATATTTTAATTCTTTCATTCATTGTGCAATTTCATAAATAAGTTGTTTGGGTATATACATTTGTTAAAGAAGAAAAATGAAAAAAAATAAGGAAGTAAGCAGTATCTAATTAAATGCGATGTTTCTGGGGGTAATGTTAGCTTTGCCATTACCTTTCAATTTTTTTTTTTTGTATTTATTCATTGACGAGCATAATTGGAACGATGCGAACGAGCACACAACTAAATCATTACCTGCAGAAAAGTACCTTCAAGTAAGACACATTTTTCAATAAAATTAATATTGCAGTAGCGTATAATGAGGCTTTAGAAGATATAGGATTAATTATAAGCATTCTATTTTAAATTTCTCTTTGCCACACAGGATACTGTGTTAACTATTATTAAAATAACGAATGTACATATTTCCCAATGCTTTACGTTGTAATTATTATTCATTTAACTTCCAATTAAAACTCAACCGATAATGCATTTACTTAACAAATTTTTATAATTCACGTTTCAATTTTTCATCTAATTATGGATAAAGAAATCGCATAGCAATACTAGTTAGTATATATTTCCTTAATAAAATAATTAAGGGTTGTATAGATGTACATATACACGTTCGTATGCGAGTTCTTATAAATTGGTTTTCTTTGGAAATAATTATTTTGTTTCCTTTTGAAAATTAAGATTTGGTTGTGTGACTCGTTTAATACGAACAACTTTTTTGTTACATCGTCTAATAAGCGATTGATGTCCTTGAAATTCACACGAAAATTAGCTCTGTATTTTGGACGTACGTTCATGCGAACTTTTAGTGACACCTACTCTACTAATATGTTATACAGGGTGTTTTAAAAATATTGTGCAATCCAAAAACTTCATATTAAAGTAAATGGAAAATCTGCAGATTTCAGGACCGTATAATGTTTTTCAATTATTCTGTATATCGTAACATCAATTTTTAATTGAAACTCTATTTACGTGACGTATCAAACGTGAAAGTAAGAAAAATTTATTTGTGCCACAGTAGCGTTTTACACTGGCCAGTCAAAAAAAAAAATAAAGCATAATAATAAAAATGTATTCAGTATCGAACACGGTAGGATTTCCTAGGTAACACGACGGTATAGGGAAAGGAGGACCCATTTAATTACCAGGCATTATGAAGGTTTCAAAGTTTCAATACTCGAATTTTCAAATTTCAGATTCTACATTTCTAAATTCAAAATTTTAATAACTAACTAAATATTAACACGTTGTGACTGGAGATCATAGATTTACCCTCTCTGATAATGAGATGAACCGTATGTATATCCTCCCTTACACTAATTTCCCAATCTCAGGAATCGACTGATTAGGTTAAATAAAATTTTCTCTACTAGACGTTTACACGCTATTGATGCAGCTTTATCGCTATTTTCCTTAAGGAAGTTTACCGTGTTCGATACTATACATTAAAGGCACCGTTAAGATCGCCAGACGAATAATCGTTTTCGAAAACTTATATACGTATGTATTATTGCACATGTATTTTGACAAATTTACGAGACTATGCTATTCTCTTGCGTCTTTATTCGCCAAAACATTGTCTGATACAAACCTATCTTAGTTTTCCATTCTGTACATTCATGGACTTCCGTGGTTTCTTTTCTTTCATCTCTAGGCGATAGTAACGTTCACGAGGGCGAAAAAAAACAACTTATTGCGCATACGTTTATTAACAAACGAATTTCTACATTGCTTTCGTATACCGGCGATACGTACCTACGTGGTCTTGATTCCACTCCCAGAACGTCTAACGCGACATGTTTCGTACATACATACATGCACATGCAGCATACACCTCATATATACACACACATACAGTTATGTGCAATTTAGGCATCTCTTAAACAAAAGAAAGTGCAGGATAAGAAGTGTTCCGCTTCTTCTCCTTCGTACGCTCACTTTTAACAAAGAGAAGTTTATTTTGCATCCAAGTGTATGTACATGCATGCATACTATGCATGCACACACATGCTCCGATTCGTGTATATAAAATATACATATTCCGTTCCTTGTATTTCATCTTCGTACACGAACTTTCACGGATCGAAAACTAAACTTTCGCACCCTTATCTGAAGAGAACATGTTTGCGCAACTGTACAGGAGATATCTAAAGAGAGAAACATGATTTGTAAACGTATATCCAGGAAACAACGATAAGTACGAAGATGAAGACGCGATACATATGTTATTTTGGCGATAATACGTGCACCGCCTTGTATGGTAATTTTTTCTAGGAAAAAAAGTGGTGTTATGGGAAGGAGATTAGCTACTCGTTATGTCTGATAATTTTGGAACTCCCAAACGTGACCTCGTGTCATGAGTAGTGACGTCTGCTCTCTCTATGTCGCTGATTTTCCTAAGGAAGGTTATACTTGACATTGTACAATCTATTCGTAAACATAACGAATTGGATCAATCGAGCGGAGTAGTATGGGTCAGCAGTTTCTTTTTTCCTGGTGTAATTAAACAAGGAAGAAATTCGTGCGAGCAGTATCGTAATGAAACTCTAGATTTTTAAGTATAAGGTGTGTACAATCAATGAGCTCATTGTCAGTGGGTATCAATGATTTGTACAGCCTCCACGCCTGACTGACATTGAGTACTGGTTGTTTGACGTCGTTAACCGTTATGTTCTTTGTCAAAAGAAAAGAAGAAAAAAAAGAAAAAAAAAGAAAAAAAAGATCTTTCATTTCTCGTGTCTGTTAAGTTTTTTCTTTCTTTCATTGGAGAATTTTGCGAAGCGTAATATTGTAAGCAGCCACGTGGCCTGTATATTTTTGCTACAAATATCATTAGTAGTACCACCGTTTTGAAAAATTCAAGCTTTATTGTGTTTTACTCTTATTATTATCTTATGTTTCCTCTTTTTTTTTTTTTTTTTTAAATTCATCTGACGTTTGAGAAAAACACGAAGTACACCAATATAATTGAATGCAGATTACATTTCATGATTTATAATTAAACTAATGCAAATTTTTTTCTCAGCTGTTAAACAAACGATGACTTTCGGTAGATGCAAAAGTAACGGGAATTTTCGTAACGAAGATCGTATTTTTTATCCGATCGATTTCAAATGTTCAATAAAGTAATATTAACACGTTAATTGCCACGGTGAAAATAAACATCTATATTAAGACGTATTTAAATATTAATTATTGACCTTAGAAAGACTGATTTTCAAATATTGAAAATATGTTGTTCTTCAGATATTACAGAAAATTTCCTGAAATTATTTATGTTTAGTTATGTTCTCAAAATAAATGTTGAAGAAGTGATTTTGGTTTAGCACGCGATATCGCGTGTTATATACCTGGTATTACTAACATAATATAAAAAATTTAATAATTCAGTTATATAAAATTTGGAACGTCGGTCATTGGTGACCCTCATAGCAGTAAACGTGTTAAATATTTCTGTTGATTCTAAAGCAAATTCGATTCCCTATTCCTTTTCGCTTTCTCGTTGCATGGCAGAAGAAAGTGTTAAGAATTGACCAAGAACGATGTAAATTGCGAATGACAAATAAAGATGTCCTGTCTACTTTTAAAAGAAGAGTATAATGAAAAATTCTCCTCACTCTTGCATCGACATTGTCCCATTTGTTTACAAATTAAAATGGACTCTTGATTTTGGTTGTGAATTATACGAAAAAAGTGTGCTGAAGCGAAGAAGAAGGTGCGCTGACTCGAAAATGGCTTTTCTCACCTGTTTCACTTCTAAACGAGCGTAGTTTGTACTTGTACTATGTGCTTAACGAACTTTCGACTTTTTACAGTGGATTTTTGATTCGAAGACTGATTAAAGCCGGAACTGTTGCATTCCCTCTTCCACGTCAAGATTTTCTCTTACATCGGCCTGTATCGCATTAAAGCTATCTTTTTTATAATACTTTGTCGTATGAAATGTTACTGGTGATCCTGTTTAGAACAACTGGTCGTGTCTATTCAAAAATCTACAAACTCGATTTTACTTATCCACTGTATAATTATCCAATTAATTAATCAAAAAAATTGATCGTCTGGGTCACTTTGTCTCGTCATTTAGTTGAAATCTTTGCCGTTAGAGGCCCTGCGATTTTGTACAAATTTTGTTCCTACTTTTACCATCAGAGAGCGTTATTTCGATTTGCGAAATTTAGTTGAAATTTTTGCCAAATTTAGTTCCGTTTTTTGCTGGTAGGGGGCGCAATGCAGGGATATCTGGGTTGCTAAGATGTAAGGGGTACTTGGATGTAAAGAATGTATAGGGATGTAAGGGATATAGGGTTGAGCTTTGTGAGGTCCACAAAGACAAAAAAATAATAAATAACCGGGAAGGGTGAGAACCAAGGTCCATGAAAAGCGATAAAATAATAAATAAAAGGGATGGTGAATAAAATGGGAAATATTTGGAAAGGCTAGTCCCCGTGGGGCTCACAAAGAGTAATAAAATAATAAATAACAGAATGCTGAGGCGAGGCTCCCGCAAAGCTCGGGAGCCAAACAAACAAGAACAACTGCATATTTGAAACAGACAAAACAACAATCACTTGATGAATCAACATACAGGTATAATTTCATTGCAGTGAAACTTAATGTATGATACGGCGCTGATAATCAGTTCCGTACACGGTATGGTTTAATATGTTGCATACGTTGCTACCATCTGTTTGTATTTCCCATGGGATGCTTGCTTGCACCCTATATGCATGCAGTTTCCGATAACATGCTCATCCTGGACTATGCATATGTGCAACAAACTAGTCACTTTTGAAATTCTTTATTTTCCAATATCTACATTAATATTGTGTTTTTTCATAATTTATATATATATTAAAATTATTTACTTTCTTCTGGCGATTAGTTGATTCACATCTTAAATTAAAAAAAAAATCTCAAGGTGTTAGAATCTTAATCCTCAGTTTACCTTTGTGCACGTATTTCTTCACCAAGAATATTGGTTTGGAGTTTGGAGTGAAAGAATACGGGCAAGGGAAAATAGAGAATCGTTGCCAGACAAGAAGTAGTAAAGAGACGAAAAAGTCAGACAGTAGAGAAAACGAGTAATGATCGTACCACTGTAGAAGGTTGTTACTGCAACATGGGTTACTGTGTGAAAAGGTGTTTCCCTTCTCGTAATTCTAATGGGATTCTACATTTGTTTTATCTTAAATATCTTAAGTATCAATTGATTGATTGTAACGAGATGTCAAGATTTACAATAGTTTAATAAAGAATTTATAGATTAGTTAAAAAGATCCATAGAGAAAGAAGAAATAAAGTTAATGGGTTTTTATTATTCAGCAAACTATTCTTCTTTTATTCATCGAAATAATATTAATGTCATTTATTGAAGTTACCTAGAAATCGATTCGCGGTTTAATGGGCCGGTGTCCGAATCTTGTCACGCGAAAACCGAAGTTATTCCTTATTGCTTCCGCAGCGATGGTCAATTTCATCGGTCTGGGAACTTGTTAAATTGTCGGACTTTACCGGTACGTGGACAGTGGATTTGTAACAGAAGCTGTTTCCGCTATTATGGATGAGTTTTAGGCGAGTAGGGTAGACAGACGATAGATTTTATTATCAAAAATTCAAAAATCATGTTTATAAATTTCAAAACATTAACACTCAAATTGTTAATTCAAATTCTAAAGTTTAAAATGTTAATTTGGAATTTTGAAATTTTTATTTTCTCCCAGAAATTTAAATCCTGTAATTTACTTTAAACAAGTTAAAACATTATGTAATTCTGGATTAGGCTTATGATCTGTGTCTAATGATGGACGAGTGACGCGATCGTAATCCTTGGAATGTAGGAAGGAAACTGAATCGGGAGGATCGAATGGACAATACGATGGTCTGACTTGTCACGCGTTTCCTGTACGGATCTATTCTGTTCTATCTCGGATACGTATCGATTGATAGAGACACGCTTCATGGTCATTGAGTAGAAACTGATGATTATTTATGATAGGACGAATTAGACAGTGATTGGCACTTTAAGGCAAAGCTCTAATCCAATGCATCAGATGAATTTTGCATTAAGGAAATGTTAAAACTGGGTGTCGTGTAGAAGAATAATTTCTAAAGGAATACTGTAAAATAAATATTAAATTAAAATTGGGGCTCTCTCCATAGAAATCAAACGAATAAAAAATGTATCCTATTTCAAAAATATAAAAATTGCAAAATTTCAGAGCTTTAAATCACAAAGGAGGATTAAAAGACACGGTGATTTAAAGATTTCGGTTTCAGTCCACGTGTACGGGGTTATTTCGAAAAGCGATCGGATAATCATACTTGGCCAAAGACACTGGAACCACGTCGACTGAATACCCTCGGGAGATATCACGAATTACGGGGCGGAGCTTAGAAGTCTCGGTCACAGAATAGAAACCGATTAAGCGAAACAACCAACTGAGTACACCTGTTGATATTTCCCTAGCCATTGTACATACCCAGCCACCTACGGCTACAAACAACTGTGCCACCACCACTGGCGTAACTAGAATTTTTTTTCGGATGGACCGTCTCCCTTAACTTGATTAATAATCGACCTTACGTTTCTTTTTGTAAAGTAACTCACATCGTAAATCTAGAAGACAGTTGAGCTAAATTTCAAAAGCTTAGAATTTTAGACTTTTGGAATATGAAAATTTTGGAGTTTTGGAACTCGAAAATTCGGAAAATTTGAGAATCCTAGAATTTCGGAATTTAAAAATTGTCGGACTTTAAGACCTTAGAATCTCAGTTTATAAATGTCAGTGTGAATATTCCTAACAGCAACAAATTACCATGCCACGACGATAAAATTTAAAACTGATCTATAAGCTTCTCCGCAGCTTAACGTAACCCGCTCTACACCTGGTTGGTATCCAATGAATTCTCTTAATTCAGCCTGTCAACGCAAAAGCCAACCCGGTGTATTCGAGCTGCCCATTGTTAGCGGCTAAGCATTATGCATCGTTGCCACGGCAATATCCATATAATATGTTTATATAGCATTAGGTAATATAAAGTGCATTCACGGGGGTGCAATATATTATAACGTTAAAATTACATCGGCGTATCCGGTTATTGAAAGTCTTCCATCGAGTCTGGTAATCAGCAATAAGTCACGGCCTCTCGATCGAATATACGGATTTGCATTGAATAAAGATGAAAACCAGCTACGATATGCAAACTTTACGAGTATCACGTGCTCAGATTCTATTTTACCAAGAGAATACTCTACATTTTGTTTCCGGGAGATTAACCAATTAGCATCGATTAAAATAATAGACCGTGCGACCATTGGTGTAATTAGGTTTTCAGCTTTAATAACAGCGTCAAGTGTTTAATATTGTGTGAAACGTTGATGAAAATCTTAAAATTAAAAAATTTGGAATTCTAAAAATTTAAGAATACAGAGGGAGTCATTTCATATTTTTAATAGAGGTTGTCCCCCGTTTATGGTTAGTTAGTTAGGCCGATAAGTGCGTCAGTGAAGTTTTGCGCAAAGTATCAGAAATGAACGTGTTAATCATCATCAGCGTTTAATCTCGTTAAAATTCAGCGTATCCTTTGCCACATTCTATTTGGTGTTTATGACATGCCGTTATCGCGGACGTTAAGAGACGAGAGACATCACGTGTGCCAGCAACAAACACGTTCGACCCGTTGATTTTCTCGTGACCCCGCCGAAAGCAGTAACAGCTAATTCTCAGTTATCACCAGTTTCCAACGTACGCCCGTTAAATTTGTCCGATTGCCGATGGCACTCGCTGCTACGCGGCGGGATCAATTAGTTTAATGACGAAGGACCCGGAGGCGTCACTGGAAGCGATATGCCGACACGACCAACCGCTATATGTCCGCTAATTGACTATGATTAATACTTAACCGTGTCTAAGTTGTTGCCAGACACCGTAGCGCTTCTGGTTTACCTCGCCTCTCGTTGCTTTTTACTTTCGCGACTTTTCGACCAAAATTATTTTTCATGTCATAAAGGCACAGAAATTTGGAAATATGGAAATTCTTAAGCTTAGACTTTTCGAAATATCAAAATATCAAATTAAGTCTGAATTATGCCCTATCGAGTAATAAAGTAAAGAACAGAGAATGGCGAGTAGGAAGAGGTTGGCAGCAGGTATAGGTAAGTTGTTTGGCATTCATTTGGCGTGCGATGCCTAGCCCATTCCAAGATTGAATCCCACAAAACTGGCTGCTCTACGGCGTTATAATTAATTTATAATACCTCTAATTACGTGGCCATGTCGGATGTGGCTGTCCCGACGTTTAATTTGTTCGCTAATTAAACAGGCTATGCTCCCTATGAGGGAGCAACGTAGTTGTCTCGTTTCTCTACCTTCATCCCTTCTCGTATTCCCGTCTCTCCCTTCGTCCTTTCCAACTGGCCGTTTAGCTTGTGTTCTCGCAAACACGCTAAATTTTAGAATAAACTTTCAATACCTTTATTATTTTATCTCATAAAACAGTTATAAATATTCGAATTTTTTATCACATTTACGGTATAAATGTCCCTCTGTGCAATGGTATAATTATTATAAAGAAAGTTTTTTTCTTATATTTATTGCTTACAATCACCCGATACGAAGGTTTTGCCTAAAAATAATTACATGAAAGTAGAAGTTGAATTGAAGAAAAGCATTCCGTTCAGTTTGCCTTTCTCTTTGATGGCTTCCTTTGACGTTGAACCTTAATTTCCTATGGGAATTCATAGGTACTTCGCAAGTATGCCAATCTATTATCCTGCTACTGTCGGATCACTCTGGTTTTGATGAGTGTCCTTCTCGATCCTCTATCCATAAACAGTGTGCTGTGCTGTTTACTGTGACCATGATCATCAAAGACTCGGTCTAGTACATTAAATAAATTATCCGGTCCTTTTTATTAAATATGTAAACTATTAGGTGTATTTTTGGTACTTTTCAAAAATGATTTTTAATCGAATACTTCATTTTTAATCAGCAAAATTGCATGCGTTTCATGCGAGAGGTATGATAAAAGTTGGTAATAAAAAAGCATCAAATTATTCCAAAAAAAAAAAGATAGAATCTTTTAGGAAAGTTTGATAACTACTCGTAAGCCGTTATGAGAAATGGAATGCTTCATTTGGAACAACTTTTGATACCGTGACATTTATTCTTTCCATTATTTCCATAAATTCTGTTCTAACATTTGCCTGTTAATCACCGAGCATTGCAATTTCCGCATACTTCTCGTGCATAATGATTCAATTCATCGCAGATTCTCGCGTTTCTAATTAGACCACGTTAAATTAGATTGTCCCAACAGAATTAAAGCGGGCTTTACTGTTTGATAAGTACCGTACAGAAGAACTTAAGGAGCTCGAAAGTACAGTTTATTTTAAAGAAGTTTAAGGGAAAGGTTAATGGGACCCTTAATTAGATAAGAAAAGTAATACAAGACAGAATGTTAACTATTTTTATCTTCATTTTGCACTGCTTCTTATAGGCTATAATTTATCTAAAGAGTAGAAAGGATGAAATATTTTAATGACTTTGACATGTAATACCATGCAACAATCTAATAAGATGCTAGGCAACTATGTGTAATTAAATATTTACAAACCGTGAAAATAGAGAGAGACAGCAATGAAATTTCCAACACATTACATCTATATTGAACGAAACAATTATATCATCGCGATTGAAATGAAATGAAACCAAATTGCGCTTGTATCAATACATGAACGGGTGTATGAAATATGCATGAAGCATTATATAGTAAAACAGTGGTTCTCGAGCTTAGAAACACGAGGAAATTTCGGGGCGACATGCAGGAGGTTGAAAAGTTTCAGCAAAACGGAATTTGATGTCGTAGAAAAAGTTTTACTCCTTTTAAATCCACGTGTCTCAAAGATACAAGTGTTTTTCATTTTGAATTATTCAACGCGTGAACAACGTTGGCCTAATGCTTTCTACTAAAACGAGAAAACGTATGACGCTAGCAAATTCACAGGTAAATTATTATACAATGGAGGATTCCACTAAACGGAAAAATCAATCTGTCTATGTTTTCCTTAGAAGATAAAGATTTTCTACGTGTCGTCGCATTTCCAAGTTAGAACTGGATCCCGTGTTTCATCGATAAACGATCAGGATGGACCCGGGAGTTCACTTTAAACTCCAATCTGAACTTCAAACGTTCGTTCATCCACAAAGTTTTCGGAAGCTGAGCAAAAGAGCTTTCCAAGTAATATGAAACGTGCAATCGCCGATTACTCGAATAGCATTGATTCTAAACTCGTAGCTCTACGTGTGGTACATATAATGGCTGACAACTTTGATTGGAAATGTATACAGGGTATTCGTTATAATTATGTCATAACAGACTTTCTATGTGATATGCAACAACCTGATGTTTATCAGAATCACGAAAAAAGATTTTTGAAAACTTTCGAATTACCTATATGTGTGAATTTAAAGTGCAAAATAAAAACTTGTATAACTGAATCATATAACTTCGAAGTTTCATTATAAAGGTTACACTGCTCATTAAAAATTTTGCAGAAAGATACATACACGAGCCGCTATCTTTGTTAAACAATTTTCATGAAATAATCTTCACGGTGCACGATGTTACACATTTCATTGTTACTCGTTGTAATTGGATCGAAATAATTCAGCCTCTTCCTCAAGTAAAAGCAAGCAAGCTAAAACTCCATCGAACTGGCTTTCTCGAGAACGCAAACGGGGCCTTCAATTCCGCTAGATAATTGCTACCGTTTGTTGGCACCAAAAAGGAAGAAAAAAAGTATTGATTGTTGCACTGCATCGCGCCAATAGCATCCAATCAGAGTATTTACTAAAGAGTCATTGAGAAATTTTAAAACCTTCTTTCCAATCGTTAGAAATTGCTATTATCGTCGATTTTTCGTAACGCGACCGAACGAATATGGCAATTAACGATGACAAAAATTTTCGTGGATAAACTTTTCGATTGAGAAACCGTGACAACAGTTTTCTCGATGTGTGAACCAGAAATCGAAGTACCACCGTGTGTCGGTGGAAAGTGATGAAACGTTTAATATAAAGTTCATGTAATTTAAAAGGAAAGGATTGATCAGGATTGCGATACAAGTATAAGTTTTGCAATGATTGCAGCAAGTAGAAATACGAATGCAATTCGTATTTAACAAAATAAATAACACAATTATTTTTTCTTATTAGAAGCAAATATTGTAAAAAGAAACTTATATAAATTTTACTTTTGTTATACGTATTGCTTGACAAAGCAAGTAACAAAATTTTGTATTAATATTTTAGAATACTGTAAGTATAACAAAGATATATTGTCCCTGTTATATTTATTATAATTTGTTCAAACAATATTAAATTAGTTACTAAAAATTATATAATAATTATGGAAGAACGTAATTTTATTCGTGGTATTTGTTTGAAGACCTTAATGTTGCTTAATTTAATTAACCTTTTAGTGGTTGTCATATCCCACCGCGTTTGAGGGTGGAATGATAACCAACATGGAATTTGGGTCCTTGTTCCGGTCGGAGGAACGTAGCGCGTTTTACTTGTTTCAACTATTTATTCTTTTCTATATTTTATTTTTCTTTTGTCGAACGAAATGTTAAAAAGAGCCAGCTCAGATTTCAAGAAAATGACATCATCCTTTGATACATTTGTTCTCAGATACAGCATCTTCCCCGCATACCCATCATATTATTCATCATACGATGGATCTCTCGCGATCCACTGTGGGTTAGCATCGGCACGGTTCCGCGAGTGCATGTATCGCAAGGGCGCGAAAGGAAAGCGGAAAAGCGTGGAGCGCCAGCTACCCGTTTGGTATTGGTTGATATCGGCGCGAGCAAGGAGGGTTAAGGGGGATGCGTCGGCGTGCTGCGCGGTAGCTTTTGCCGCGGCGCCCGGCAGTCCACAGGCGAAGTCCTAACGAGCAACCGGCGACCGAGTCGCGTCATCGATAAACTTCCTTTAGCGATCAAACCTTGTGAAGAATCATGCGTTCGCGTCCGTAAATACAGGTCTAATCGGTCGCGTGCTCAAGTTCAATCCGCGTTTCGTTAATTCTCGTTCCGTGTGCGTGTATTTCGTTGATGATTTTCGCGTGAGTCCGATCGACATCGATCGATCGTTTCCGGAAAGTTTCGGAGTGACTTCGGGCCCCATCGAAGCGGCCTGATTGGCCACGATATGTGACGAAGTTCATCCTCTATCGTGCGTGAACGACGCTTGCTCTTTGTTTGTTATTCCATCAACTGCAGTGTGCATCAGTGAACAAACGGAAGTACGTGTTGAGCCCTGTGACAAGTGTCCACATTTCCCGCGATTTGCAAGTTGTTTGTGCGTACCAGTGGTGTCGAAGACGAGCCTAACGAAAATTGTAAGTTTACCTCAAAAACGTTTAGGTTATTTAAGATTCTCTCTAAGGAATTCTCGATCGATTCGGGCTATTGTCGCGTCGATTATCGTTTGAGGTTAGTTCACGTCGTTAACGTGGTGATTATAAAGTCAGTGTCGGTCACACCGCAAAACTGGGGCACACCCAGTCCAGCTTTCCGCAGCGTTACCTGATTCGAGGTTCACGTACGAGAAAATAGAGAAGGTGGCGGGAAAAAGGAGAAAAAAAAACGCGTCGAGAAAAATGGGGTAACCGGGAAAAAAATAGAGAGCAAAGGGAGCCGGAAAACACCGAACTATACCAATTGCGACAAATTACACGTTGCTTTATCCGGTAACGGCGGTTCGCAATTAAAAGAGAATATACGCGTGATTAACTCTTTTTTTTCTCTTTCGGTACTTGGATATTGTTATAAGAATGAAACTTACTCGGGTTATTGAAGAACTTTAATTAACGCGTTGTTTACTTACGTTGGCGCTCTTCGTTTTCATTTTGGTTGGGAAATTGTGTTGAGGAATAAAAGTGGACCAATGAGAAAAATTGTTATCCTTTCGATGGCGGACCATGGAGAGAGCCGTAGTTTTAATTCAATTTCTTTTTTAATTAATTTTAATTTCCAACATTCATTTTATGGTTATATTTTATTATATTTTAAGGTTATACAAATATCCTTAAGAAATATTAGCATAATTTTAATAAAATTAATATTGTTCGACATTTTATAATGTTGTATTTTATATCACTTTAATTTCCCAAATATTACATTATTCTTCGAAATACTATTTTTCCAGTACAATGAATCCAGTAAAATTTTCCAGTTTTGTTTCAAAATTGTGTACCCAATCTTAATTGACAAGCTCCTCTGTTACTTGTAAGATATTCTAATTTTGAATCATATTATCAGTGTTGGAATATTATATTTCTGTTCATCATCTGGAATCTGGAGGAAGAGTCAAAAAGTTAGTTGCACGCTACCGCCGCGCCGCGTTGATTTGCTGACCAAAAATCAAAACAAATTGCATAATAGTTATGGTTTTCGTTTATTCTCTAACCCAGTATAATGCAAACATAATCTAAATTTAACTAAGTCAAACTCAAAACTCCAAATACAATACGTAGCGTCGAAAATATTTGTGCGTTTCTCGGAAACATTGACAAAATATTTCAAGCTCAGTAAAATCAGTGAGATATGTTTTTAAAAATATTTATTATTAAACTTGGCCGACTTCTTGCGAATAAAGTATTTCAAATATCTATCTTGATACGTTATGAAAATTCAATATGAATGCTGCACGGGATACCGAGGACCCCCGTGGTAGAAAACGTATTAAATATATTTTTCTATTGAAAATACGTAAGGGTCGACGTTAAATTTGAATTTGTATGTCTATTAAATAGAGCTTTAGAAACTCAATGGATTCTAGCTTTCGATCGATCGTGAAAGGAAACTTTGAAACGAAATACTGGAGTGATACCTGGATTTATCGTAATCGTGTTCGTTATATACCTGAGATTCAGCTTGGATTGAAAGAGAACTTCCTCATAGTGTTTTGTTTAGGTTCTACCTTTACGAACATACAAATTTTATGTTAAATTTCACTTGTTAATTAATTTTCAAATTTGTTTAATTTTATGTTTTCAAAATTTTGCATTTTATTTTATTAATGAACTATTACACAGTCTAATAGTTTTGTAATAGAAACGATACATGTATTCGTATTTAATGCAATAGAATTTGATTGAAAGGAATTTTTATATTAATTTAATGAAAGGAGGACAAATTTTGTTTTTGCATATTTCCTTTCTTACGGCCAGGCAGTTGAAAAATATACGCAATTTAGATTTCAATCGTACCACGTTCCATATTGTTAGAATTTATCCATTCTTGTCAATAGAAGCATTTCCGAACGCACGTGATCACAATCTATGTTTGTCCTTTTTATATCGATCCTTGTATCGGCTATTTTGAAGCGTCATTTTTACTCTAACATACATCCTCGGTTATTTTTCTCTTATTACGTATCCATAGATATTCAACAAACGTTTTGTATTTTTATCGTAGATTTAGATCGAAGAAAAATCCTGGATAAAATCGATAAATTTAATATTTGCTTATCAAAATGTATAGAAATAATCATACGCAGCGTACAAAAATATTTTTGTTAATAGAAAAATACTGGCTAAAACCAGTCTGTATTTGCCCCACTTCACCTTGATGCAAAAGGATCATATCTCGAACATTCATATTGCATTTTAACAAAATGAACAATATTTCTCTCTTTGTTAAAAAGAATTTGGTTTATTTTCCGACACTGACTTACCAGACGCGTTTTTGAACCTTAGAAATTTGCAAATGAAGGTTTTACTTGTTTTCCAATCGACAAGTTTAGTTAATGAATCCAATCGCATGGTCCAAGTGCTTGAGAACGTGATGTTTCCAGGTGTCATCGTCTCGTCATCGCGCTGAGCTTAACGAGGTAGCGTGCAGTTAACGTCGGCGTTGTTAGAGGACGAGAGTGGACGCTCCTGGCGCTTCTAAATCCTCCAGGCTACATCCTTCCAGTGCAATGAGAATAGTAGTGTTCGTGTGTTAATGACTGACGAGCTTTCGATCAAACAGTGTAAAAACGACAAATGTAAACGGTGCGGAAATACTGGTTGGATGCTGAGGAAAATGAGGAAGGACGTAACTGATGGTGAACATGTGAAAGTGTTTCTCTGGAGAGGATTAGATCAGTAAACGAACAAAGATAACTACTTACAACTGAAGAAGAAATATTCGATTAGACGAAGAAGAAAGAGAGGGACTCGTCTGCAAAAGAGTAAGTACATTGATGAATAAGTTAAACAAAAACAAAGGATGCAGCAAATTGAAACACAGAATTAGGATTAGGATTATTGAAATTCTAGTTACTTCTGAGTCAGTGATACGGGGTTGAATTGGTATAAGGAAAATCTAGTTACTTTCAAGTTATGTTACGGCATCTAGGATTACCTAGAAATAGGCTCTGTCCGAACCGTAAGATAAATGAATGTAACCATATGTACGGGCGGTACGTTTATTAACGCCTCCTCCTAATTCGATTCGATAATACTGATTTACATATTTTCCGATAATGCCACATATTTCGGCGTGTCGCTTTAGAGCTGTAATCGCACGTGTAATTTTCGCCGTACCTGCAGGGCTGGTTTTACCGGAAATCCGTCTTAAATCTTTTGTAATTAAATGTTCGATGTTGCGAGCATCATCGCAACCTGATGGCACATCTAATGCATCGGATAACCCGGGTTAGTTTGCTTTTCCACGGATAACAAGCAGACTTTATCGAAGCCTAAAATGTGCCTTAAAGTTTCGAACATCGTATCCATTATCGACATATTGTAATACATTATTCCTCCAAGCGTTAAAGTAATTTTAACCTTGTTGTTTCGCGCTTCGAATAGCGCACACGTTTTTAGACGTATCGTGCACGACTTGGAGTTTCTTATTTTAAATTATAAATTTTATCGAGGTAATTGTTACTTGGGTTCTTTTTTGTGAAATTACACCTCGTTTCTGTAAAACACAGTTTTTCTCACTCTTTTTTTAAGCCTGAGTCTGAATAAATCCAGTTACAAACTGCAAAGCATGTAATTAGAAAATCACTGCATAAAGCGAAATTTGTGCAATAAATTGTTTTTCTATCAACGGGATTTGACTCTCAGCAACGAGAGATGCATAGCTCTCGATACATCCAATCGTAGCTGTTTATTTCAAACCCGTTCGAACGATATTTCAGTTAATTGGTTCTCGCATAATAGTGTGCAGTGCACGTTCATTTTCCGCCAGGCTAATGGAGCAGTCCGCACAGTTCATTTTCCCTAATCACGGCGACAAGATGAACGCGTTCATCCACACATTTTCACTTCGCAAAAGAAAACTGTGATTTGATGTTGAAACGATGGTTGTTTATTTTATCAACATTGATAATTAAAAAGTAACGATATGAAAACGAAAGTTTACGATGGGTGAAAGTAAAAAAGATGGGTGCAGGAATTCGTTGAATATTCCATTAGAATAGGCATAGACGTAACAGGAAACAGATGCCTTGTAAATTTTCGTATTATAATAAAATATCGGGGAATAATTATTATATAAATATCAATCAGTGAATTCTGCGAGCTATTTAATGGCCAATTGCAGGAAATCTCGGTCAACGATCAAACATCGTTTGCGATCCACGGTGATCACCTTTGTTCCGCGAAACTATTGTCAAACGAAACTGTTACGTAAAGGCACCAAGATGGAATACTCGCACGATACGTTTCACTGTGGAAGACGTGTGATTAATTAAAGTTTGCACCGGTAAGATCGGAACGACACGCGATTGTGCGCAAGAACGGCAACGTAACACTGATTGGAATTTAGCGTGGAGAACGGTTACACTTCCTACGTTCCTCCAATTAAGCTGGCCGAATGTAAATCAGACCTAGAGGAAATCCCGCAGCCCTGTCGGCGGGATTCGCTCGCGAAAGGAACACGGGAGGGACGACCATGAATTCGTAGACGGGAAAATTGTTAATCCCTACGAAAGATCCTTCACGATGAACTTGCTACGTTTTCGAGCATAAAATCTTTTGACGACATTAATTTCACGAACGGATTAGAATGTTCTGAATATTTCATCATTTGTTACGTGAAATATTAGATCGTTGCATATTAAATGATTCATTTCAAAGCATTAGTTTACCAGTTTGAAAATTGAAGTTTAATATTAATATATTGAAATTAATTAATTAAATAAAAACACAAATATATGCGTTTGCATAAATATCCGCAGTATGCTGATCACAAAACGTTTAATTCGAAGACGGTGAAATATTCGAAGGGTTGATCGTGCGATAGCACGCGATTTCTGACAAATGTTCGTGCGATAAGCTTCGCATCTCTAGGGGCTCGGAAAGCTTACGAAAAACCACAAGCATTTCCATTGGAATTCACGGGACCATTACATTCCTTTCTTCATTTTTTTTTTTCTGTCAGCCAGTTGCCGCAAGAAAGTCGTGAAGTTCGATCACGTTGGATGCTTGCGCCCTAGATAAGAATTTCGTGGATTTTTCCCTCGGATTGAAAGCACTCACCCACGTCCTAATTCTCACCCTAGAGAACACCATGAGTGTTTTTCTTTTTTGTTTATTCGAAAAGCAGCGGTTGGCAGAACAAGTGCTCCTCAGGCATCGATCTGATTATCACTGTCGAAGGGAACCCGCGAGATCATAAATTTTTGTTGAATTTCAAGGTTTCTTAGCGAGGTGAAATTTACTAATATTCCAATTACTTTGGAAAGTCTGTTCGCGTAGAGTTGGACGGTATGGTAGCAGAAAAGCACGAGGGAAGTGGCGGAAGTGTAATACCTCAAAACGCTTATTGTCAGAGTACTCTAACGTTCGAGGTATTAGACGACAAGGAGAAAATCAACGAGGAGTATAGAGCTTTCAGAGTAGCCTTATCGCGAATAGTTTGAAACGATAGCAGTTCCATTAAGTATACGACCCCCTTTTCTCCATGGCATTCGCTTAGAGAAGCGGCAGGATTTCTGCAAGGTGCATCTATCCAAGTAATATACCAGTTGCACCAGCCATGTTAGCGAATGCACAATTCCTATTCTCCTATCTAAGATGACAGTAGTATCGTGGAAACACAGCCGGCAACGAACTGAAACGTTCCATTACGATGCTATCGCAATTCGCGAAATGATAAACGACGATACGCTCCGATAGTCTCGTTGTTGGAGAAAAGTTTATTCGAGATATGAGAATACCGAAACGAGTAGTTGCAAGAATTATCGAATGATAAATCGATTATCGATGGCAATGATAAGAAGACAAATTGCATGTTACGAACGATCTGTTAACGCTGGAATGGTCAGCGGGGCGAACGCTTGGGGCAATATGTTAACCCCTCGGAAGATGAATGCATTGCTACCGACGTGACAGTCCGATATAGGGTCAGTATGACCCGCAACCGTATTAATATAATTTCAAACATCGTTTAACATGTGCGGACAGGTAGATACTGAAGGCTAAAAATATTGGAAGATACAGAAAATATTAAATGCTAGAAAATAAAATACTACAACATAGGAAGAATAGTGTAATAGTATTAGAAATACTAAACACTAAAAGGTATTAAATATATTTAACACAATAGTAAATACTCCAAAAATTTCGACTATAATTAGTTATTTTCAAAACATGTAAAGTCTGATAAGAATTGATGACACATAAAAGTATCGTAAAAGAATAACGTGTAATTATTTTTATCAGTCTAGTATTTTTCATATAAACAAATTAGCAAAGGCACTCTGCAAATTATTTTGAACTGAAAGGTACAAGTAAATACCCGTATAAATAGCCAGCACGAACATTGATTACGTTTACCGATTAAGTTGATTTAATTTCTCGACACTAATGAGCGTAAGTAGGTATAGGGTGACGAGGGAACGAAGATGGCAACGACCGATAAAAATAACATCCACCGCTCGTAAAGCGTGGCTAATAAGAGAGAGAAAAGAAGGAAGTGTAATAACAAAAAAGACACAGGGTAAACCGCGAAAGAGGGTCAAAATGAATGATGCGCTTGTATTAAAATGCTGGCTCTTGTTGAAGACACAGCTTTAAAACCACTTTCGTGTCGTCTAGCATAAAAAGTCGAAAGAAAGACTAATTATGTATTTGTAATTATGTATTGCGATCATTAATAATTAAATATATCTATATCATAATTTCAATTACGAATTGTAATCCAAATATGAGTAAAAAATAACTTCGTATTACGGTAATTAACGAATGCAGAGAGGCACAACAATTTTCTGATCGTAACAATAAACGACATGGTGAAATGTATTTATATTTGTAATCAACAAATTTCCCCCTACCCTTTCGAATAATACAGATCGATTGGTCGATTGAATATTCTCCATTACGGGATAAACATTTGCTGACTTCATATTTTCATTACACTCTTTCCCCATCGTAATTTCTGAACTTAATCGGCTTATTACTTCCATTCGATGAGTAACTTCGTTAACGATAATTGTCTCTGTTATCTTCTGTATACGTTATGTATCATGAATGTTTCGATTTTATTTAAGAGAAATTATCAAAATGGTACATCAATTATATATGATTATTTTTTATTTCGTTTTTGAGACTTATTATTTAAAATTCGTGTCAAATGAATAGTTTTATTAGATTATTGTTTTATTGAATCCACAATGATATAGAAGTACGTACAAACGTACTCTTTAATTATTTTCTTTAAATTTTTAACTTCAAATTGATGTGTCACAAGTGCTATTTCACAATGCTCTGATGTTATGAAATTGTAGCAGACCCGACAGGTTCTGAAATTGGTTATTGAATACTCAGAAACTTAATATCACCCACTTGTTCGATATTTGTTCCTTTCAGCTTTCGATTCTATACAAAATTTCAACAAACCAGCGATTTATTTTAATCGAACAGTACTCTTTCAAACCTACTATCAACTGAAACGAGGATTTTCATACAAATTTCACGATATGTATTGTCAAACGTGTTAGCGAACAAAGTTGAGCTCTCTATGCTTTGAAATTTCAAACGTCACGCACAATTGCGTTAAACGTAATTATCGCATTATTTCTGTAGGTGAGGACATATTTAAAACGCGATTTATAAAGCGAATAACAGCTTTGTAGTCTTTGTTCATATTCAAAGGTATTATATTGCGCACCAGCTCAAATCGTATAGGAGTATTTGAAAAGGGGGATAACGAATTTTAACATTGTTTTAAATATATTGC